CTTTAAAGCACAGGATTCAAAATTCAAAGCTTCAAAATTCGGATTCTAATAAAATATTCATATCACATGTCTAGAATGTCTACAACTCAAGAGATCGTTTCTTTTAAAATTAATTTTTTCTGTCTTCCTATTTTTACTAAAACCGCGTGTAAAACTGAAGCGAATATTACGAGTAACACAAAAAACCGGTAGAGTGCATCACTATGCACAGGCTGAGCGCTTGTTTCGTTGCGAGATTGCTATGCCTGAAGCATGATCTGGTTCTAATAGGTGATCTCACGGTGAAACCACTGTGTTTCAAAGGGTTAAATCAGCGTAAATCAGCATTTACGAGGCTGATACTCATAGTTGCAAATCTTTTATGATCTTTGATTGAAAGTATTTATATACATCGTTATTTAGCTAAGTCAATATTACTTAAATAAAATAAGTATAAATAGAAAATTAGTAAAAAATTAATGAAATGACAGATTAAATAGTCTTTCCAAGGCTCTATTGATATTTAAAAGTTGATATTCAAAAGTTTATCTATCAAATTATGACATACTATGAATACCAGCCATAGAGTAGATTCAAAATTTCGACTCGGTTATCTCCTTATTCTCTCATTAAGTCCGAAAAGATTCCGTGTAATAAATAACTCGAAACATACCTAGAAATATACGATGTACTATTGATCACGTCCCGGCGATTTGCGTCCTTTGTCCTGGTTCCCTCATCCAGCATCATTCTCCCGGCTGTTTCGGATACCCCTTACTGACACTGGCACTGACACTGACACTCGCGTAAATTCGATCGGAGAAATGTACGTTGAATAACACGATGCCGACGAGAATGCGATTAAATGTCTTAAAAGTCCACGGGAGTAACAACTGATACACGAGCTCCGCGTCGCTCGTCGGCTCGAGACATAATGACGCAGTCATGGACGACTACGCGACGCGCGACAGTATCAAAACAATAGGCGTGGTGACTGTTGTTGTCCGCGCATGAACGCACATACGCTCAGCAGACGAGAGAGACTACAAAAACACTTGTCAAACATTCCGGTATCTTCGAGACGATCGAAGTTATCAACGGCTGTCGCATGTATTTTGTAAGTGTCCGAATTAAACTTTAGAATTTTCTTCGAGTTCAACGAATGCAGATTTATACTTTCAGTAATGTTCTTTAATCCGCGTATTTCACTTTGAATCTACAACGTCTTCTCACTTCTACTTAACCTCATTTGCTCGTCTTTGTCAAAATTAAATGTAAATTTTTACCGATGCTTTTGGACGTATAACTGTGCTTTATTACTCTCACAACTCTTTTCTTTTAACCTTTCTCGAATCTCCAAATCCTATCGAAATTTTCAACACCAATAAAGAAATTAATGAGGAAATTATGGAAAGCGAGAGTTTGTTTTGTTTATCCGTTAATCCCATTATTTGCCTATATTAATTATTCAATGTTTGCTTATCGCGCGCACTTTATCTGCAGCTAAGAAAGTTACTTAATTAACATGTTATTTATTAAGAACAAAAATTGAATGCAGATAAAATATCGAGATAATCAAGTATTAAATAATTATCAAATATGTGTTTTCTATAAATGTAGTTTGTAGAAAACAAGACTTGGAGCTATTCTGAAAACAATTAATAAGTTCTTTTTTTAATAGAAAAACCTTTTTAAAACCATTTATAACATCAAAGAACAATATTCTGTGCAATATCTCGAGAATTTCCATTGATCTTTCAAATTCGACAAAATTTGCAGAGTTGAGGTAGAAACAAAATTTTAACTTAGGTCTGATTATGGACATTATCCGATAATTGATCGATAATTAATTGGTAATCCGATTGATTTAGCTACAATTAATGAGCTACAAATTGAATTATTACAAAAGCTCGATGATGTTGCAAATTATTCGCGGATGTATTTCTCGCGCTTTACAGACCCGCCAGCGACCTCAGAGTGGTCCGCGACGACGTAAAATTCGGTTGGCACAGGTGCGTGTCGCACGCGTTATCGACTAGCGATAAACGCCAGACGATACATTGACGCGAGTACTAGGGTAAGTCGCCCTCACGATTCAAATGAATGTCCTCGTCGATAGCGGCTGGTTATAACGTGTCCCCGAGCTGCTCGTGTCTACGAATCGCGATGCAATTCGAAAACGATTAGTATTATCTCCGGTTCGCGTCGACACAACCGCGGAGGGTAGAAGGAAACTCACGAAGGGGAGCTAGCGACCAACAATGGAACCAACGAGCTATCATCCCTTCCTACTCTCAACAAGACCCGCAGGGTACCGATATACCCGCTCATTGATATTCTTATCGTTAGAAGCTACTTTTGAAGTCTATATCAAGGCACCGTAATATAATTCGATTTTCCTTAAATTTTATTCGTTCACATTGTGCTTTGAGAGATGTCTATTTTGTGAAAAGATCCTACAAACTTAAAGAAATAGCGAGCGTGAGGAAACCGCTCATGTGTGCTTTATTACTCATTGAAACATCACGAGGAGAGCTGATATATTGATACACGAGGTCGAGAATCTCGCTCTGCAGGGTATAAGACGTAATTGCGAAGTGTTGTTCCCGATACACCCCTATCTTTCGCAGCCCGCGGGCACTCGCACCTGAGCCGCGCGCGTATCGCGATTCGAAAACGATTAATATTATCTGGAGCTGCCGATGCGGTTGGCGCTCCGTCACGGACGTGGAGGAGAAGAGAGAAAAGGAAGCCGAGGAGGCGCGGCCGCAACCGGCAACGAAACCAATAACTATTAATCGACGCGCCACCGCACATTCAGCAAAGTCGGCGCGATTCGCAGCCCTCGATTACACCTACACCCTGGCGCATCGACACGCGCGTATTTCAACCACCCTAAACGCGAAGTCGTGTCTCTCTTTACGGCCCTTTCATCTTGCGTCGCTTCCACCATTAAGCACCTAGCGCGCGCCGGTGTAATGGTGTGCAGCTGATCTCGATGTATGTATCTCGCAGGGGATGTACAGCCCCCTCGATTCGTGAGACGCGCATTGATTGAATCCGACAACTCAGTTAAATATTATGCTTTGTACAGGATATTAAGTGTATGTATAAATTATGTGCGAGATATATTAAAGGGGTTTCGTGAAGGGAATTTCTGTGATATACGAGCACTCAGCATTTAAAAGTTAAAAGAGCCAACTGAGGTGTCTGCAATACGAGCTGGGGAGAAACAGATTGCTTTCATACACTGAGAGAAAAAATATCTAAAAAATATTTATATAATGAGTATTAATAAGATATTTATTTAAATTCGAATTCTTTTATTTAAATAGAATAAACGATTGCTTTCATAGGAAACTGAGGTTTTCTTAAAGTTTTTAGAAAATATTTTCTCATCTGTGAAGTACTTTATATATTATAAGTAGATATGTTAAAAAAATATCCTTCCTCTCCACCGAATATATTTTATTTCTTAGATATCTTTTCTCCCGTAATGTAACGAAAGAAACAAAATAGAAACAAAACAAAATAAAGCTCGGTTTGCTGTCTGTCTATATCGTTTTCAAGCTGCTTTCCTAAATGTGCTGAAACGATTCAGAACCGGTCCGCGAGTATCCGATTTATTGTCTGATAAGTGCATTCGTTACGTCTCGGCGACGAATATTTCCTGCCAGCCTGACAGGAGAAACGGGATATCATAGATCCACCTTATATAAGACAAACGATTGGAGGATACGCGTCCGGTGAGAGGGATCGAGCACTCAAGCACGACGACGACGCGGTTTAGACGAGGTACTCGAACCTGGCATTACGTCTTCCGGTTACAGCGTGTCCGGTACAGGCGCCAAGGGAGGAACCGGCCGGTCGAGTCGGGGGGTTATCAAGCGGAGAACTCCGGGTCGACTCCGTCGTCCTTAAACTGCCACACGTAACTCGAGTGGTGACTCGGCCGCGTTTCTCTGCGACCAGCGCGGCGATCGCACGTACTGGAGTGCGCGACCGGCCCGAAGATATACGGCGAACGAATATCCGGAAGGGGCGGTCTGGAATTCTGGACTCTGTCCGAACGATCGTACAACGAGAGGAGAGAGGGAAGCGAAGGGGGCAAAGCGCGACCCTCCTGCACGTGCACATGGGGACGCGCGCACACGCACACGTGGTATATGCAGGGGCGCACGACCTAACAAACAATCGCTCTTGCCCCGCGGCATCGAGGGGTGAAACTGAGAACGCGACTCTGGGAATGGAGAAATCTATTTTCGCATGAACTCCGCAGCTCACATGGATCATTTCGGGGGAAAAAATTGCCGATATCTTGTACGTTTCGGGGTACCTTCGGGATCTCATTTTTCGACTGCGCTATTACGGTAATGGCCGTGGAAACAGATTACTTATTTTTCTACATTGAGAGAAAAAATTTCTGTACAATTAAAGATATTTATTCGGCAAGTACTAAAATTTTAAGAAAATGTATATTTTTTTATTTAAAACCGGTTCTGAATCGTTTCAGCACATTTAGGAAAGCAGCTTGAAAACGATATAGACAGACAGCAAACCGAGCTTTATTTTGTTTCTATTTCTTTCGTTACATTACGGGAGAAAAGATATCTAAGAAATAAAATATATTCGGTGGAGAGGAAGGATATTTTTTTAACATATCTACTTATAATATATAAAGTACTTCACAGATGAGAAAATATTTTCTAAAAACTTTAAGAAAACCTCAGTTTTCCATACTTTATACTAGTGTATAAGTAAATGTTTTATTGAAGCACCGAATAAATCTTTATTTCTTAGATATTCTTTCTCTCACAAAGTATATAATAATTAACCTAATGTGCAAGTCCGTTCGTATGAAACTCAAGCTATATTATGAGCGTACTTAATAAAAATTTGCAAGTTCGAGGGAAATAAGTTATTTCATCCTTATTTTTAGAAATTTACGCATCTATCGGATTATCTAACTGCACACAATAATACGTCAACGACATTATAATATATATTTTGTAATGACTCACCGTAGCTGCCATGAGGAGATCAGGGGCGGCTCGGAGGGCAGCAGTTGTGGTTTCACTACAAAAGCCATAGCCAATTGATTTCGCTGTTGCCTTCTGACATGCTGTGTCAACAGAAAAGAATAATTCTCAGTTTTACTAAGGTGTTTTCATCAAACCACTCGTCAAATATATCGAGCAAATTGAACCACGCGATTTAGAACACCATAACCAGACGACCTCACGTCAGGCGGCAAAAATGCCGCGAGATTCCATGTTGAAACGTTACCGCAAAGAAAATTCGCACGGAAATTGCAGCGAGATACGCGAATACGTATCTATGTCACACGCGCCACGTATATACACAGCAAATTGAGGAATTCAATTTTGTGCGAACAATATTCGACGGAGAGGCCGCAAGAGTGGCATTTTCGTCTCCCGGACAGGGATGCTGAAACATGATTTCGACCGTGCGAACTCGACAGTATCACGCAATAACTTGCGAGAGGCGTTTCAATTTTTACAAGTGACTTCCACAAGCCCACTCGGCGCTCGTAAGAGGGTGACGAACAAAGCGCAGCGGTATATAGAGCGTATTAAAAGCGTTATTCACCGGTTTATCTATCAACAGCCTTTTGATACTGAAAATCGCAATTTTCCGAAATTTCCCATCGGAATTGCACCGATCACTCGCGGCGAAAGCACGTTACACGACAGTGCCGCTGCGCGCGAGAATCAATTTCAGGAATTCAACGGCAAACGAGAGTGTATTTGGTGACAGAGAGAGAGAGAGAGAGAGAGAGAGAGAGAGAGAGAGAGAGAAGCATGCAAGAGGAGAAGAGAGAGAGGGAAGCGGGTGAAGGGTAATCGTAAACTAATTGGAAGTAAATTCGCCCCGGCGTAATTGCGCGTTTTAATTTGAAGCTACGCGAAAGCGCTCTCGCGTTGCTCCGAACGAACCGTTCGCGTGGGTAGGTAGCTAGCTAGATATAGGTAGAGGTGCTCCTCTCGTGGCATCGTCGACAGTCCTTCATTTACCGTACGAACCGTATCGTAAGCGGTTCTGTAATTAAAAGAATTACGTCTTCGCCGTCGTCCGGTACGTGAGGTCAGCAGAGGTGCGTTTGAAATTTCGTCGCGACGATAAAACAAGACCGCCGAAATTCTGCTCGTTCCTCCGACGCCGCCGCCGCCGGCGGGCCGACTCGATGGAATTTTATCGGAGATTCCCCGCGCGATGTATCGATAATTCAACGGAGTAGCCCGTCATACGGGTGGAAGCTCGCGTGGAGAGAGCTAAAAACGCGCGGAGCTGCGTATTTTAAAATAAATTAAATCCCCGCAATGCTCTCGCGTGGAATATTCCCCGATGTGAAAAGGAACGTTGCGGAAACAACCGGAGTATCGGATCGGTGCCGGAAATATTACGATTACGAATATATGGAATATTTTGCATCGCGGATCAACAAACGACGATTATTCAGTTCGCGCAGAGCATCTATTCAACTCGTATTCATATCGATAATAACACCGAAAGTATCGCGAAAAATCTCATATGTTTGCAGCGGCAATGGCGTTAAATGAGAATTGTGAAAAACGCGCAGAAAAAGAATTAACCGCAGGAATTCAAGTATAGTTGTAGCAGCTAAGATGTTTTACTGAAGTAGAAACAGCTAATGTTGCTAGTGAAATAACATTTACTATCTATTTGCATCTCGACAAAAAATATTTGCTGCTCGGTAGAAAATTTGCATTATTATCATTTCACTTTTCTTTTCAATTACACTTCATACCCGTCAAAAACATAAGACCGACGTTTCGCACTACAGATATAAACCAAGGTTTTCCATTGCCTTTTAACACAGATTCGTAATCAATTTCCATTTTAACATGAACACAAAAACCAATGTCTTTCGTACTTACATGATTCCACGTCTATCGAAAGCGCGATGATTTTCCCTTTCCAATAGTCTTTGTTTCAAATCGCTACGACGTCTACAAGTGAAGCTATTGACGATTATCCGCGCTCTAAATTATTCGACGTTATTGGTGCAGTGAGCGGCATAATAAAGTAAACGTCCTAGTGATTGAACGTGTACCGATAATTGAATTACTAATAATATACTTGTGTTTGTTAAGATGCTTATCAATAAATGAAACAAAATCACAAAGTAACTAAATATTTCTTTTTATTTATTATATTGTTTTGTATATTGAAAAGCATCTCAACAAAGAAAAATACAAAATATGTCAATCATTGGGACATGTATGTTCGACCACTGGGACGTTTACCTTAGATCACGACGGGGCGAGTGAAAGATATGCGAAACGCGACTATCACCTTGCGCGGCGCGCGATGGTATGTGGCGCGTCACCCCCACTCTGCTGCTCATATAAGCGTTACGCATTTCCCCCTCTTGCTCGCCGCGGCCACGCGGTCATTTACCCCATGAACATAGTATACATGGACTCCGAATGTTCTGTCATCTAATAGAGCGAAGCCAACATCTAGAAAGAGAGCTAAAATAGAGGAGTTATTTTGGGTTTTAAACCATAACTATAGTTTTTTTCCTATTTTGTCACTTTTTTGTTGCGCGTGCATCCATTTTTTGTTTCCACGATATTATAAAGCGCAACAGCATCCCGACTAGACTAACAAGTAAAAGTCTTACTTAAATTTTATTGCACACTTTATCTGTACAAAAAGAGACAGAGAACCGAGAGGGGCTGTACATATTGGCTTCACTTTTCTAGCCGTATGCGGAGTCCATGTATACTATGTCCATGGTTCACCCTCACATTAGCAGCGAACAGTGCGCCTGTGCGAGAGCAAACACCGGAGTGGCACGAGCGCGAATTTCGAGCTCAAAACTGATGTCGATGCCGCGGCTTCAACTCGCGAATAAGTTATGTAGCGAATAAAATTGGAAGGAAATCTCTAACACGCGTTCCCAAACGCGTTTATTCTGCATTTTCATTGCCTATTTGAGAGCGTAATGATTGATCAAAGCACGGCAAGTACGATAACACGTAATCTCTTTCATTCATGTTCAAATTGTTCAGATTCTTTTCTTAGTCTCGTCTATTGTAACATTGACGAGATTTATACAGTTACTGTGGATCAAAGTAAAAGAATAATTACTGTAGTTATTTACAAAATGGTAGAGTATTGTTTTGTTTAATTTTTGATGAGCTCTACTCACACACGAGCGTTAGTATATACGTTGTGTCAAACATTCTGTATATATTTTTCAACGTCAATGGAAAAAAACACATAACAAAGAAATTGCAGAAAGAAACAAGACTTGTTGTTTTACATATCCATTAATTATATTATTAGGGTGTCTGGATTTAGGTGTTCATGTGCAGGCAGAACTTGTTAAACTAAATAGAGAAAAATCCTGTAGCATTTGACAGATTATTCTGTAGCAATCCTGTAGCAATTGACAGGAATGTAGCAATTGACTTTGACTACTCTGCTATTAAAATATTAAATTTAACTGATTAATCAATCTGATTAATTAATCAAACTAATTAATCAGTGCGCGCAATGCGGTAGGATAAGCTTTAATAAAGTTAATTCCTTGCAGAATCAAACGCTTGAGATTGAGATGTTTAAAATATCTAGAAATAACTACCACTTCTTTAGCTACACGACAAATGTGTGCTTTTAATTTCATCTAGTAAATTTCCATCTCATAGCGAAAAAATGTATTTTATCTGTGATAACCAACTCTTGACAATGATAGAAAAGCGATCAGCCTTTTAACTAAGATCAAATCAGCCACTAAGATTTAGCTCATATTATTAATTCCTCTTTGCATGTATATTTCGGGGGCATTTCGCTAAGTGCGCGCGCGAGCGCGGCACTTTAAAGAGCAACATTTTTAAGTATTCAGGAGCTGTTGCAGCGGCATTATGCAAATTATTGCTAATTTGCAAAATATCATAATGAATTCTCGCCACGTCCTACCAACGAGATAATCGTTAATGGGGTGTCCGCGTAATATAATTCTAACACCGACCCCATCCAAGTCGCATGCGTGTTTTATTGCGTCCGTCGTCGCAACAAGAGGCAATCCCGCGCCAACGACGACGACGACGACGACGACAACGACGACGACGACGACAACGACGACGACAACGACGACTACGCCGACCGACGAGTGTGCAGGACGAAGGAAAGGACTGAGTGCGTTTTCCGCGCGCACCGGGTGTCGCCGCGGAAAGAAAAGCTCGGGAACGAATCAATGCAATCAGAGACGACATTGTGCGGTCCGCTCCGCTCGTCGTTCGCACTACCGAACTTGGTTTGCGCTCTACACCCCGGCAAATTAACCGAAGTTTCGCGCGCCCTCGCCAAAACTTGATACCCCTGGCACGGCCAATCAAACTTCGAGTTTCGGTAATCCCCGGGCCAAATACTCCCGTTTACACGTTACAGGTTATGGTATAAGACGGCCCGTTTCCTCGAGTTTCGCCGCCGCTAATACCCGAGTTTCTGCCGCAAGTTGTCATCCGGTGTCGGCTACAGTCGCGGGACCGCGATTTTCTCTTTCTCCCTGCCGCCCTCTCAGCCGCTCGCTCGAGGAAAAAAGGGGGAGACGGGGGAATTACGTGAGAGCGTCGACGGAGATCGCGCCGAGTGATGTAGACTCTCTGTCGTGAGCGCGAATCGCGCAATCGTCCGTAGCCATGCGACGGTCTTCCTTTCTCATTATGACAACGTGCGCAGAGATCCACTCTTCGTTAGCAAAGTTAATTAGCGAGAAACATATAAATAAGTGAGAAGCGGAGAAAAGCAAAGACGAAAGAGAAGGGAGACGAGACAGGCGAAAATGAGAAGAGTGCAGCAATCTCTATAAAACTACACTAGTAGAAGGAAACCAGAGAATCGAGTTCTACCAAATGGAATTACTTAAAGCAAACGCGTTACTTTTTCAGTGCCACTATCCGATCGGCTGCTTCCCTTGTTACAAAGTCGCGCAATGACCACCGGCAGACCCTAGCCCCCGGCTACACTCGATTCCAAGGGTAGCACCGATGTGTTCCATTCCCGTTCTTGTCCCGCAGGTTCCATCAGGCTACCATCCTCCCACTTTCCGTCGCGCAGTTCCGTCCGAAC